GTCTGGATTTTTAGAATCCGAGTTGCCAATTCTATAAAAGTAAAATATAATGAGTTGTATTTCTAGTAGTTGGCTGGGATATTATCTTAAGGATGTACTTAGGTCAGGTTTAAGAATTTTTGTCAGATGTTCGGACTCCTTGGTTTTTGGGAAGTTTGCTATAGCAATACTTTCCTAAGGCGTCGGCCTCTAACTTCGGGTGACTATCGCAAATGTTCTGCTCCAAGATAATGTAGTACTAGTGTTTGAATACTGATTCTAGGAATATGCTTTTGAAATTTTGAGTCCTTTTGAAAAGATTACAGCTTGAATAAAAAAGGAATGAATGTTCACCGACAATTCAGGTGAATTTAACTTCATTTTGAAAATGATTATTACAAACACTACTTCGCGGATTTTCCATGCGCTGAAGAGAAAATCAAAAGAAATCTACGCGAGACATCGTTTCATTCATGAATATTTCATGAATGAACATTTTCGCGCGCAATTTTGTACTATGTACGATATTTACAAATGCTTAGTATTAAATATAAAGTAAAAGCCCGAGTGTATCGAAAGAATCCCGTATGACTGACATTACTGAATGCAACGTACTTTTTAACATGTTTATATTTTGACCAAGCCGTCGGATAATTGACAAGTGATAAAAGTTTGATTGAACAATTATACACAGGTGACAGAAATACTCGATTATCATATGGCTTATGTCACACGCCAAGGATGAGTAAAGGTAAATACCGGCTATGATAGAAGAGTGCATGTTTTTGTCAAAACATCGGTCGGAAGGTTTTGAAGCCAAAACATTTGAAAACTTTTGAATTCCGCTATTTAAATACTAGCTATTTCCACATTCCAATGTGAATTTAAGGACCTTTACTCGTCCAGCATGCTCAGTCACGTGGATCAAACTGACAGCTGAAAACATTGACTCAACGACAGTTCGTACATATCACAGCCCATGTCCTCAGTGTTACGATTAACAATAACATTTGTACACAAATCGTTACAAGGATAAGGCAGACAAGTCAGCTTCTACTTAGAATAACTCAGTGTATCAAGACAAGTGCTGTAGCAACATGATTTAATAAAATCTGTCCATGTAATAGCAAAATGACTTTCTTACTCTTAGTGCTAGTCCAAATAATTATGATGAACCAAAAATCTCAAATGTTATTGCCTCAATGCTAAATTTCACAGCATCAACTTTAAAATGTGTTACAGGGTTATAAGCACCTCTATGAATCTAGTGTTTATAAACTTTTTATTCCTTTCGTCATACTGCTATTGTTATGTCCCCACCGTATTAAGTTTTACCCTTTTTCTTCTGTTAGTATGTACGTCCCTTACTTGTACATACATCCGTACATCCGAAAATTAGTTTCTGTTCTCTAACTTTAGTTTTCCTGAACCAAATTGTATGAAACTTATACGCAATACTTATTTCCACAAAACACTGGTCAAGTTGAATTTTGGTGGCGTCGATTTTACAATTCTAGAGTTATGCTCCTTAACAAATGGAAAAGTTGCTTGAATTTTTTGTTTACGATCTCTAACTTAGATTTGTCTCAACTGAATGTTATAAAACTTATACACAAAGCTCATTATCACAAAACACTGTTAAGATTTGTTTTGGGGGCGTCAGTTTTACTGTTCTAGAGTTATGCTTCTTACAAATTTAAAAATTGTGATTGTTGTCGAGCCTTCGACTTTTGTCGAAAAAGCGAGACATAGCGATCCTACTTATTGTCGGCGGCGTCCACAAATATTCACTCTGTTGTTAAAGTTTTTGAAATTTTGATAACTTTCTTAAACTGTCCTGGATTTCTACCAAACTTAGACAGAAGCTTGTTAATGATCATACGATAGTATCCAGAAGTAAATTTTGTAAAAAAAAAAATCCATTTTTTCAGTATTTTACTTATTAATGGACTTAATTTTTCTGCCAGGAAACATTACATTCACCCCGTGGCTAAAGCCGGTTTTTAAAATGTAATAACTTTCTTAAACTATCCCGGATTTGTACCAAACTTGGACAGAAGCTTGTTCATGATCAAAAGCTAGTATCTAGAAGGAAATTTAGTTAAAATTTTGTTCTTGTTTTTCCGTATTTTACTTATTAATGGACTTAGCTTTTCTTCCAGTTAACATTACATACAGTCTGCAGGTAAATTTTTTAAAACATTTATTAGATTCATAAACTATCCTGGATTTTTACCAAACTTGGACAGAAGCTTCTAACAATCAAAAGATAGTATAGAGAGGAATATTTTTATCAATTTTTTTCCTTATTTTTGTTGAGCCTGCGATTAACAGCAAAAGTAGGCGAGACACCGAGTTCCGCGGAACACTAACAAATATTTTTCAATTCCGTGCTCTAACTTTAGTGTGTCTCAACCAAATGTTACGAAACTTATACACAATACTTTTAACCACAAAACCAAGATCAAGTTTGAATTTTGTGCCGTCATTTTACTGTTAGGGTTATGCCCAGTTACAAATGGAAAAAAAATACTATAAAATCACAGGCCCTAGATATGGCATGGGCACATAAAGAAATTTAACAGAGCTTATTGTATATTTGATTATTTTAGAACAACAGTTTAAGGTTTCAATAGTAAAATATCAAAATTTGAATGACAAACAATGACAAAAAAAAATTTTTTGATAATTGCTGAAAAGAAAATTGTTAAGTTAAAAACATCAAAGCTGTGATTAAATACATATTTGAAATAATACACATCTATAACCTACTTGAAATAATACGCATCTACAGTTGCAAACTTCCCAGAGGTGCTATCCAGCACTTTCATTTTCCTACGATACAGGGTAAAATATTTTGCCCCATAACACCCATTTGTCTTATCATATAAGACTTTAATAGCTCATAAAAGGTCATTTACCCAAATTTAAGCAGATTCTAGATTTCCTTTCTTTCGATTTGAGACCCAAATAATACCAATGCAAATATAAGGTAAAAGTCCGAGTCAGCCTTTTCCCGCCATTTTTAAAAAATCAAATATCTCGAAAAGGAGCTCCATAACCTATGAATATTTTTAGCTTATTTTGTTCCTTAACTAATGCTCTTCTGACTTATAGTATCAATTTTAAATTCTAGATTTTTTTAATTTCACCTAAGTACATCCTTAAACACATTAGCAAGCCTAAATAAAAAATTACAGGTCATTGGCAACTTGGACTGCTTATGTTGTTCCATTCATTTTCTCAATTCCTCTTGTGTATCCTATTGTATCTCCTTGAAACCAGGTTCATTGTTAAAACCTAAAATGGTAATGAGCATGTGGGAACATTCATCAAATTGAAATTTTTATCGTTGTGCCCCGTGGAACTGCACATTGTCCTTGTCATTGCAGTTGCTCTTACATGAGTTACTAGAAGTAAACCGTGATGACACTTTATTTAGATATTTCTGAATACAGCAGACTTATTCTTTATATATCTTAATTTCAGTTTAAATGAAAATCCCAGTATATGAAATATTCTCATGATTGAAACAATCATCGTTAGTGTTTTTCAAAGACCTTTGATTCATGGAAATTGAATTTTCCTACCAATCTATAATATTTGTTAAACTGGGTAGATGGGAATGGAGATGAGACTAATATTATTAGAAGTAGGCACAAAATTAAAACCGAAGGTAATGACAGAAAGGATATTCAGAAATCATTTTGTTTTCCGATTAATTCCCGCACTAGCCCCAAATGAATTATCCAAATGGGGGATAATAAACTACAGTTGCATACTACCTTTAGGTTAGATCGCTTGGAAACCATTGTATGGATTGTTACCAAACCACCACGTTTGTCATTGGTGTATTTACTTGCATAACTGTGTAGACTTATTCCTTGACCAACAAATATGGCCGCTATTACTACAAATAGAACAGTTATGAATTATATTTTAAAAAGTAAGAGCAGTTAACAAAATCGACTAATTACAATTTATCAGCAGGTCACCTATTCACCGTGAAATTTTCAGAGAAATCGGACAACAATGTTTGTGTTATTGCCCCGAGATGTCCATTTTAGGCTATTTTTTGGCTATTATCCGGAAAACTATACAAGATAGACAGACAATATAAATTGCAAATTGATTAGCTAGACAAGGTCTACAAATACATGAGCATCGCCAGTTAACTCCTTGTAGGAGTTTATCTAAAAATTAAAATAAAGATGGATTCACGTTTGACGCAGTTTGAATTATCTGACGTCTGAAAAAATAACCGCTGAAACCTCGTCTCATATCCACATTTGAATAACAATCCTCATCTTCCTCATAAAAAATCATCGAAAATGAATAAAACAATTATTTGCATACATATAACACTGGAAAGGATACAAGCACTCGCTTTTTTGCTGCATATATAATCGTCACCTAAATTGTTAAATAAAAACATGATTTGCCGATAGAGGATTGTCAAATAATAACAAATCATAAGATAAAGTGAGACAACTTCAGATTGGTGAAAAGAGTGAATAAGAATGCACTTGATAGAAAGTACGAACGAGCAATACTTGACTTTGACAGTTTCAAAGAATCAAGTGATACTAAAGATGTGGTAGATTTTCTGTCCTTTACGGACAACAAGAAAGCAGGAAACTTTTAATCGCCTATACCAGAGACATATATATATATGTGTGTAATATGTCCCTACCTATACGCAACTTAATAAATTGCAATTTTAGGTACTCACGGTTACTGTCATTCCATTTTGGGAGAAAAGAGGTGAGTTGCTTGTGTTGATGATTCACTGTGTCTTTAGACTAAATCCATATTTTAATTTTAAAGTAAACGTTTGGACGTAATTTTCCATTTTTTCATTTATATTTTTAGACGATAAAAATAAAAACCATTGACGTATTTGATAAAAGGCATTTGGTTAAATTTAGAAGCGGTACATTTAAATTTTTCAGTATTGTTTATTAAACTCACAAATTTAAGTTCAAACAGGAAGAAATTTTCAATGGGGGAAAAACCCCCTTAAATTTCCATTTACGAATTCGAAATAAGCACATGACCAATTCAATATGGATGTTTGTTGTGAAAACAATATTCTGCCCTAATAAAGGCTGACGGAAATGGATACCGGAAAAGAAACTGATGTTGATTTAACTATTCAAGCTTTGGATGAAACAACGAAATGTGCTGTCGAATTCAAAAAGTTGTTACGCTTACTAAATGCCCGAATAAGGAATTTAGAAGATGGCAGATTTGAAGAGGCACCCATAATTGAACAGAAGCTGGATTGTGTTTCTGAAAGAATAGAGGGAACGGCAGTTCATGTACATGAAGTCACAATTCTTGCCACAGAATTACAGAATAACATGCAAAAATTGAACTTTGCCATTCAACCACCGAATATAAGAGAGAAAAAAGGAAGTAAGCATATTTTTGTTTTATTATTAATAATCTATTCATGAAATTAACTGTATATGTCAGGATCAAATAAGAATACGGATCACTTCACATGCTGGGCAAGTTGAAAAAGGCGAACTTTATTCATGGATATGTGTATATATAGTGAATACATGTTACAACAGCATTTTGAAAAAAAATGTTTAATACGAATGAAAGGTTTTAGGGCAAACATCAATGAGGCAGCAACCAAACGAAATAAATTAACAAAAGACATTTAGAGGTCAATACAAAGTCTTCAACAATAAATAGATGTCCATACAATTTGCCAAGCACTCAGTCTATACGTGAGAACAAATTAGACATAAATCACTAAAGATCTGACACCAACATCAAGTTTCACAAATAGCAAAAAAGGGACATTATTATATAACAACACAACCATTAACGAGGTTCCCGACATGGGAAAAGTACATTAACATGAGACGGACTTTGACCAGTTTAAATCTTGAATATCTATACATGGTTTAGCGGACAGTTCAAAAATGAAACAACATACTATGACATTATATTGGTTAGAACGAATGGACTACGCTTGGGAAGGGGACTTGTTTTATTTTAAACTTAAAGCGTCATTACATCGGAACTAAGTAGAAAAAACTACTATCGAAAAGACAAAAGTCACAAACTACCAATCTAAAAGTACTCGCAGTTACTGAAATTAAAAGGTAGTTCAAAGTCCCATTTCAGCTTATGAGTAAACCATGTCTTTACAGACTAAAATAACAAAGAGTACACTTTAAAAGGAGGTAGTGTAAAAACGTCTTAAGTAGTTTCGAGATCTTAGCTTATTTGGCAAAACTGATAAAAAAAGAAAGAAAAATTTCAGTATTGTAAAAAACACGTCTTTGCAGGTTTGCATTTTACTTTGTTTTTTAGTAAAAGGTTGCTATTTGCCGAATTTCGTGTACATTGGTAAATCGAGGCTCGCCACGATTATTGAATAATGTTAAATAATTGACGTCTGCTTATCGTCCAGCGGAAAATATTATGTGCATTTTCAGGACAATAACATTTAATACAATATGAAAATACCCGGTGTTTTGCTAGTTTGACATATTGTTTTGTTAAACATGTACTCAATCGATGACCGTCTGTTCGAACAATTGTCCATAACTTTCATAACATATCCCTCAACCTAATACTAGTAGTATATATTAAGGAGTGATTTTTTATTTTGGCCTTAAACTTTATAATGTTGAGATGTACCGTGTAGACAATTTTCAGATATGCCGGGTGGTAGTTTCTTTGTGCGTAAATGTCTATACAAACAACGGGAGAGTTGTGCTTTACACGACATTGCGTGCGTCTTCTTATTTCTTTTTGGTGAATTCAGTTACTATTTGTATTGTTGCTTAATTTGTTGATTTAACATCGGTAGGAAGAAGTTTTCAAGCAACAGACAGTGGATTTGACAGTACAACTTACAGTGGTACTTCAAAAGTAATCAACAATGGTAAGTGACATAATGTACAACAGAGAGAGATTCTTCAATTTTATTTTTTTGTAACTTTCATTTTTTGTTATTATTTTTCTTTATTGGTTATTAAGTGATTTTTCGAATCTTTCATTTGCGATTTAAACTATTTCTACCTTTGTTCGCTATCAGCTGATTGTTAACTTAAAAGTCCAATGACTATTTTTAGATTGCATAAATGGAAATTCCCGATGCATTTTATTTTGGTTTAGACAAAATATATTTATATATTTATTTTTAGGACATTAATAATAGGATAGAAAAGTGTAAGTGAAAGTCGTTACCGTATCCCATTGAAAATTAAAAATTAGACCAAATGTTTTTCTGAAAGGAAAGGTGCCTTTATATGTAAGATAAGTTATCATCCTGGATAGAATATTGCATGCAGTAAATAAATGTACTGCTTTGTACCAGACCGAACGCCAAGTCAAATTTTTAACGTACTACCTTTATGTAACTAGTTTTACATACTTATCAGTTTCGCAACTGATCAGGCTTTGATCGCGCTCATACAGTTACACCACCTGCTTTTCAGAGAATCATCATACTAAACTTAAATATTCCAATTTCATGTATTTTAGTTTGAATAGTTTGGGAAGGATCAAACTCACGACATTCAAAGCGGCATGCTGCCACAAGACGTCTGCGACGGTTCTCACGACATTCGAGGCGGCATGCTGCCGCAAGACGACTGCGACGGTTAAACAGTTGAAAAACTCTTTATCGATTAATCATCGGCATATTTAGTTTTAAGGCACACCACATATTAATAAAGGTTTCGTCAGAAGATTTTTACCTCCCTTTTGCATGTGTTTAAATGACCGACATGTTACTGTTAATCGTTTTGAGCACACCTGGCCCAAAGGGCCAAGTGATTTTTCTCATCACTTGGCGTCCGTCGTCCGTCGTCGTCGTCCGGTAACTTTTACAAACATCTTCTCCTCTTAAACTACTGGATCAAATTTAACCAAACTTGGCCACAATCATTATTAGGGTATCTAGTTTAATAAATGTGTACGATGACGCCGCCTGCCAACCAAAATGACCGACAAGGCTGAAAATAGAACATAACATAGGGGTAAAAGGCAAGTTTTGTCTTTTATTTTGAAAACTGTTACAAATAGAGAAAATCTGACAGGGGTAAAAATGTTCATAATGTTGAGCTTTACTAACTGTCCATTTACGTCAAAACTGTCAGGCCGACTTCTTATAGGAGTTTTTGCCCTTAAATGACAAAGTAAGTTCACTTTTTTTTTCATTTTTGCCTATTATCTTGAAAACTAAAATAGATAGAGAGAGACTTTAAAATGCAAAATTGACCTGCAAGACAAGTTCTTCAAATAAGTCAGCATTGTCGAAATCGTCAGTTGACTCCTTATTAGAGTTGTTGCCCTTTGATGACGATTTTTACCATTTTTTTTTTGCGTTTTTGCTTTATATCTTAAAAATCATAATAGATAGATAAAAACTAAAATAAGCAAAAACGATCAGCAAGACAAGATCTACAATTAAGATAAATAGAAGGAATCGACCGACAACTCCTTATTAGACTTATTGCCCTTTAATGACGATTTTTTTTTTTTTTGCATTTTGCCTTATATGATGAAAATTACAATCGATAAATAGACACTTTAAATAACAAAAACGATTAGCAAGGCAAGATCTATTAACAAGTCAAATTTTGCCGATATAGTTAGTAGACTGTCACTCTTTATAGGAATGAGTGCCCTTTAATGATTATTTGTTTACCCTCTTTGGTGTTTTAAGCAAAAACTAAAGAAGATAGGGAGAAACTAAACAGACAAAATAACATGAATAATCAGCAGTACAAGATCAACAAAAAAGAGACTTTTTTCATGAATTCCATTCTCATCTACAAAAATGGAGAGTGTCCTTTGTTGAATATGCACATAGACCAAGGTGAGCGACACAGGCTCTTTAGAGCCTCTAGTTTTTTTTTTCAGTAGTAAAATATTTGGAAGTTTTTTTAAGACCGAATAGACGTTTTAGATTAATTTGAATATGTACATCATACTTATTTTTGTTTATCGGCTTCCTTAGAAAGTGATTATTTGTCATATTTTGGATGATAACTGTGAAAGCTCCCTCTTAGAAAGCTGACCTCTTATATGATTTGGCCATTCTTTTTCGGACCCTTTTGGTCAAAAAGCTCCTAACGTTTCTTGTATATATTTATACATCCCTGGCTTTCAAATGTTTAGGGTTGTGCGCTCCTGGTGAATGTAAACCCAGAAAATGCTTCGGACGCAAGACATTTATAAAATGTTATATCCATTTCATAACTCTTTTTTTCTGCCAAACTACATTATTTTGATACAAAGGCAGTCAGTCATCTTTCATTGACATTGATGCCAATGAGTAGTATATATTTGCGAAATATAACAGATGTATTATTTAACAAAAGTTCGGAAATAATTGGTCCTGCAGATAATTGATTTAGGTCCAACCTTGTTTTTTTTCGGTTGGGGCCATGTGTTGAAGACTACGTTCTAAACCAGAATTCTTAAAGAGAATCGTAAATATATCATTCATTCCAGGTATTATAGAAATCGGTCTTTCGTGGTATTTAGACTATTTCATTGTTGTTTTTTTATCTTATTTTAATCTAGTTTTTTTTTGGCGGATGTCGTATACCATTATTGTCGAAAAATACCGAGTAATAGTAAAAACTTATGCACGCCCTTTCGGTGAGGTGAGCTAAAACTTTCTTTATACGATGACAAGGTCCTCATTAATCATTAAAAATTAATATACTTATGAATCCAAAATCGCTAACTTTTTTTTGAAACATTTGCACTTGCGCATTATTACCCTTTTGACGGAACGCATTCGATTTCCCACAAATTTATATATTCGATTACAAAAATAACTTCTTCCGTCCTCTTTCCCCTGTCTAGTATTAAACAAAGTCATCGGAAAATTGGCACCTCTAGATTATACATGTGTCTAGGTAGTTTATCAACAAAAACATGGGAAAAGCGGAAACCTTAAGATCAAGCATGCACAAACGGTAACCCAGGATAGTATTCTGATCATTTTTACTCGTTTTCAACAAACACTTATTCATTCCGAAAGCATACTTATATCCCCCGATCAAACTTATTAGGATCTTGATCTCCACGATGTACTTTAATTCTGATTTTACATGTTCAGTAATCTACGGTATCGTTTTGTTGTCAGTGATGTCACTAGTGGTTGTTATGTCACCATGGATTTCATTAAGCGTGTCATCGGCCGGAAGGAATGATGGTCACCAATTCATAATATTAGTTTTTTCAGTTATTGTGTTCAGTTGCTTCATTTCTCCGCTATACATTCAACGATTAGAAGTAAGCACACAGAAAGTTCATGATTAGAATATGTCCTAGTCTAAATATTTTGGGTCAGATTTGTCAGTATAATACAAGAGAGACGGGAGATAAAAAGACAATGTTCATACTCATGAGTCGATGACATACTAACAAGGCCAAGGCAACAACAACAAAAAAAGACCAAAAAGACAAACAACAGTATACAAAACACAAAATAGAAAACTAAAAACCAAGAACACGATCCCCATCCGTAATGATCTCAGATGATCCAGAAAGGTAAACAAATCATGCTCCACATGTGATATCCGTCGTGTTACTCATGTAAGTATAAATCAGTGATATGTTCAATTTTGTCACATATGAGGAAAAGAGAACGAGATTGTTGTTACGACAATTGGAACATCTGTGAAATGGACATTTCATAACGGACAACCAACACGTTATGGCGTCCGGAAAAATTCGAAGGGATGAATTCAACTCCATCACTTCAAACCATTGGTTTTATATCTTCATTGTTATCAGCAACCATCTATCAAGGAAATCGTGATAGGAAATGCAACATCTAGACTATCGTATCAACTGGGAGATATATACTACATATGAAGGCTCTGCAGGAATGTTTCTACATAGAAACGGAAAGTTGACGATTGGGAAGCTGACATCATCTCTTGTCGTAAAAAACAGTTTTTTTCTCAACCGACCCTCATTGTCAAATTCTAGATGTTAGTCAAGAGACAGACTTAGCTGTATTTGCTGTATCCTTTATTTCAAGGTCAATAGATATTTATGTTCAACATAGTCACCAAACTTTTTAAAGCTGAACGTGAAGTTAAAGGATAACGCAAGTTTCTTTTCATTCTTCCCAATAAACCCTTTTATGAAGCATGCCCCATGTGAATAAAGGAACAAGTTGACAAGAAGAGGGACACAATAAGTTCCCATAGGAATGCCGATGGTTTGTTGAAAAAATTGGTCTTCAAATGTAACAAATATGTTGTCAATAAAATAAGGTCACGCATCTTGATGTTGGCAGTTTGAGACCATTTTTTGTTTGAATTAGAGTGAGTTTTTTAAAGAGTATGATTTGTCGCTTCCTAAAACAAGACATTTGTGTCTACGTTGCCCATTTTTTTTATGAAACAAAGTAAGACCATTTTTTTCAATTTGTTAAGGGTTGAAACGTCAATTTTTTCTATTTTCTTTTTTGTATACTTTTGCAAGAGGATAGAGACTTACATTGTATGTACTTTAACAGTTTGTTTAAATTTTTAAGTATCCACATCTGATTCACATCTCCCCTAGAGTAGATAATTTGACAATAACTTTGAAGCCGGCTTTGATTGCAGATAAAAAGCAGGATTGAATAGTAATACCACATCCACATGTTTGCTGTCTGATAGTAAATCAACGAATGCCGGCGGATCATTAAAAACAATTCTCCTTCGCCACACTTCTCTCTGTGCTATTTTAGTTATGTTAATATGTTATGTTTGTTTTAGATGTCGTAAGTGAAATACAAGATACAAACCCACCAGGAAATCAAAAACAATCTTGTGCATCCCTTTCACTTGAGGCAAGTTTTTAGTTTCATTTTCTTTTTTAGTCACAATGGTAACATATTTAGTAAAAACAAACGTGTTATTTGACTTTTTTCTGGAATTACCTACATTTGGTACGCTCGTGCCCAACGTTTTGACGACTAAAATTTAAAACGACACAAGCACTAAACATCAACGGTCAAATAAAGAACACACAAAGCCGTACAATCGCGCGTGTATTGTGAACTCTGTCCGGTGAAATTGCGATCGTAGCTTGAGTACAATTAGAAATCTTCCTAGGTGTTTCAGTTTGAATCTTACCTGCTAAGTGTATCATTTCTATCATACAAATACAAAAGAAAATTATCTAAATATAAAGCGTGGAATTTAATTTAATGTATGTATATTTTTTCGTTGTTCAAACAATATGGGTTATTTCTGGTATATTTGATGATTTTTCTACCGGCGCGTTTTGTGTTTTTTTTTCTAATTTATCATTAATCTTGAATTGTTTTAACGTATTGCATATATTTTGTCATATTATTCCTTTTCAGGCAGTTGGCGGAACCTATCCTATCACACAAGATAGCAAATTTTCCGAATGCTAAAGAACAGTCACAAGTGTAGGCTTTTATGTTGTACAGTACACACTTATTCTATCTTCTTATTTTATCATGCATTATTCAATCTATAATGTGCAATATGTTCATATTCAGGTTTCTCGTCTATGTTTGTATGTATCTATATCTTAAAGTCATATGAAACGAGTTTAAAAAATTTTAATGTTCAGGAAATTATTGATCCAATGCATGCATATAAATTATACTAAACTAAATCCTAAATGCACGTTTTTTTACATTTATTACGAGTCTATAACGTATAATCGACACATAATATTTCATTCGGTGATTGTTGATCGCAAGTTCATTAACTTTCGAGTTTGTTGCCGAAGTGTACCGGATCTTGACATTGATAAACAATCAACACAGAAGCCTGTGAAGCATGTAAAAAATAAGTGAATTGAAGGAGCGCTGTTAATTTTTTTTTTTATATTTTCTATGCGTTTCAATAACTGTTGTTAAATGATTTTGTGTATTTAATTTGTTCTTTAAGAATCAATTAATACTATTTACTTTCCAGTGCACGTTTATTTACATTCTGCCATCACTCTTTTCCCTCGCTGTGCGGTGGCTAAAGTTCTAACGAGAGGTCTCGTAGTTGAAGTCACTGTATACGGGAAAATATCGACTAATTAGTATACGGGAAGACAATAGTTCAATAGCAGTACACTTCTAAAGATTTCGATAAGATAATGGATTAGGTTTCACAAGAAAGTTCATGTACACTTGTTTTTTAATACAACTCAGCCATTCTAGTGTATAAAACATATCCAACTATTTTTTAAATTTGAAGTTTCATATGACTTTAATGGTGTTGTTCGTTAGTGATTTTGATAGTCGAGTTGATAACAGATCTGTGATAGTCCCTGTTTAATTTTTTCGCTACTGGATTTGGGACGAATTGGTGCGACTATGGCAACCAGCAATCTTTCATAATGCATTTTTTTATTGCAATAAGGTCCTGTTGTCACTATCAAAAATATTCAGTTCAAAATTGACTCAAGAAAATTTTGAACAAGTAAAATTGGTAAAATTCATCTGTTGTCATCATCAAAGTTTTCAGGGTATTGGTCAAAGAAAACATGAGAATTGAAGGTTAACAAAAAGTAAAGTGTCTCTTAAAATAACTTCTCACAGAATGATTGCTTTGCTATTTAACTACTATATCTTCTGTGTAATTCTATTTTAAGGAGGCTAATTCGTGAAAGTTTTCTTTAAGGCAAATAAGAATTCGAGCATGTTTTCTTTACGGCAAATGAATCCTACCAATCTTTGTTCTCAACCAATTCAAACCATGTCATGCTATTTGTCCATAACGATTATCTTTAAGCTTTACTGGATGTTTCTGAATATTCAGCTCATCATTTCTCACCAGTTATACAATATTTTTCGTTCCTAAACTCAACTCTGATTGGTTATTTCGCATCAAGTGAATAATTCATCAGCAATGTTTCTTATCTCATTTTGACAAAATTGAACCAAATTAGCTGCTAAAGGCGAATTATTATTTCACTAAAATAATTTCACTTTCATTAATTATGGAACAAAAAAAAAATCATATTTTATGTTTTTTATATCTCGTAGCTAATGCCCCTTTAAAGGCTTTGCAATTGTTTGTTTTCCATATCACATTATTATGGTGTTGTAAGTAAGCCTTTCATACAAATGTGTAGTATATTGCCTTGATGTGATTATTTATTATGCTAACGTTAATTTGCGACCATCACATCACCAATTGATGCCGTCGGAGCTTAAAATACAATATTGTTATCTCCATTATAAAGGAAACTGACAGAAAACAACGTCAAATCATACATTTAAAATCTGTCTTACGTCGTCTGCGCTTTCATAGCATCAATTGTGATTTGATGCCATGAAAATTAGTGACGTTATCCGATCAAAATGAACGTTACAAACGATGTTGCAATAGAATTATAGATATGAAACTTTGCATTGTTCAAAATATTAGGATGTTCTACCTCAGGAATAGATAATCTTGGTTGTGTTTGCAAAACCTTTCGACATTTTGGTTTCTCAATGCTCTTCAACTTTGTACTTTATTGGCCTTTTAACTTTTTTTAATTCGAGTGTCACTGATGAGTCTTTTGTAAACGACACGCGCGTCTGGTGTACAAAAATATAAGCCTGGTACCTTTGATGATTTTTTGTCTTAAAGGCATTTGCAATTGTTGTTTTTCTTATCACACTATTATGGTGTTTTAAGCTTTTCATACAAATGTGTAGTCTATTGTCTTGATTTGATTATTTGTTGTTATGCTTCTGTTATTAAAATTATATAACTATAGGAACGAAGAACTACCGCTAGTGTATTTGCTTACAAAATAGAAAAAATTACTTTAATGAGTTACTACTTTAAACGAGGGAAGTTATGAGTAACCCTTATAGAGGATATATACATGAGGAATTTCATTCAAATGTGGACATTAACGTTGCAGTTAATTAAAATAGTTTGCCGAGTTTAAAACGTTATTTTTTTCGTTTCTGTCTTGACCATTCATTAGTCTACAGTCATACAGATGCATTTGATAAGTAAGCAAAATGTTGAGCAATGTTTTTTTTTTGCTATTCATTTGATTTTGTAATTTTTATAAGGTGTTATATTTCTTCCTCTTTTACTTAATTGTTATTGATAGAAGTATTATTATATTAGTTCACACCAGTGCTTGTTCTCCTCATTCGAAAATGAAATGAAGCTTCTCGATTTTTCATGACTACTTGTCTTATTTTGTAGTCCTCAAATATGCTACACAGGAATAAAACGTGCTTCATCAATAAGAAACGGTTTTGACTTTTCCACGTTTTTTCAGTTGTTTTATTTCTCTCACACATAATAGGTCACATGTTTACAATTATAAAATGACAAAAGATGTGTGTTTTTTTTTACAAAAAGATCCATTCATAATTCAGAAAGAATCTTTTACAGTGCAAGAAGAGGGCAATAGAAACATTAACTACAATTATTATGATTCAATACATCGATGTCAAATTTGTCATATATTTATATACATTTTTATTTTACTACTGTATATGTAATTCGATTCGGCGTAAAGCAAACACCAATCAATCAATGTACATGCAATTCGTTTTCTTTCAAAACTTTAATAATTAAATGACGTTTGAAAAATGTACAGCAAAATAAATATTCAATTTTGTCGCCTTTTAAGCATCTTTATAGGTGAGGATATGCTTTATGCTTCACTAAAATTCAAGAACAAATGTTATAAGTGAATTTGTTATTAATATCAGCGGCCAGTGTCGATTAAATGGAATATTCATGTATGTTAATCTGCATATTGTCTATTTTTTATTTTTATATGTTTATTTTTCATTTTTATGTTTTTCCTATTTATTTGAATTTCTCTGTTTTTGATGACTTAGGTAATATAGTGTAGTATAAATGCTGTAAGCCAACTATACTCAAATTATTTATGTTAATTCGTGACATTTCCGTAGCTGTTATTGTAATAAGGATTATATTTTTAGTAGTAGAGAAATTAATTATTATTATAGAAAAGTCCCAAACTTTCATTTTACATGAGTGATTATTGTTTGCATTACGCACCATCAGCTCAAAAGGCTTTCTTATAACATGCTATTCATCTTGTATCAACGGTTAAAAATTGTAAATGATCTTATGATCTCTTCACGAAATATGTATTATAATACCCTCTACGCAATATGTCTCACAATATGTCTTATAATACTTTCTACGTAATAAGTCTTAGTAATACCTTCAAAGATGTCTATGGAAATATACGATGAAAATAAAAATAATACCTAGTAAATTTCGTTCATCCGAAGCGCATTCCTGGATTACCCTACTTCAGGAACGCTAAAACCCAAACAGTTGAAAGCCAACGATGTATAAATATCCGAACACATGAGGGCTGTTGTTCAAATCAATGACGAATAAAATGTCATAGTACAAATAAAGACAGAGGACAATTTAATTCAAATGTGGACATAAAAGTTATCTTCAAATTACACTCCATGAAACAAAAAAAAGTGTTGAACTGTTTTTTGTATCATCAAACATTCATGAAAAGGATAATAAGAATTTCCAAAAATATTGGATAAAAAATAGACCACACAAACCACCAAACTCAGAAAATATTGGATAAAAAATAGACCACACAAACCACCAAACTCCGAAAAAGATATATATATATATATATAACAAGGATATACAGCAGAAACAACACATAGATAACCTGACTTAGCACAGACACAAAATGTGGTGTGGTTAAAAATGTATTATACATCTTTTCGACTATTGTACAACAAATGGATTTAGAAATATTGTTTTCAACATACAAACAATTATTTTTCAACTCCTGGTATCCCGCTTCTATTTTGAACATAGTCTAGAACATGCATGAAATAGTTGCCACTGGACGTTAAACAGCCGACAATCAACCTTTTTTTGAGCGAAGCAAACCAATATATCAACAGTTATGTTGACACGTCACAGTTCATTTTGGGGTCCTTTTTGTGGTCCTCGGGTAATCAGGTTAGATTTCATTAAAATTCAAACACAAAGATTGGGAATTAGAAAAAAATAACAAGATTTAAGCTCAATGATGAAATGGAGCATAAAAGCAACATTTACTTAATGTTTAATGTATCACTGTAGCTTTTGGTTTTGTTATGTGCTATTTATGGTCATGTAGCCTTTGTTTCACTGACAATTTTGAACAATAATGCTTTTTTACCCTACAGTTACCATTATAATTTTCATTTTTTTTTTTTTGCTTCTTTATTTTCTTTAGCTTTCCAATTTTTTTTTTTTTTTTTTTACATTTACTTCATTGCATTTAAAAAACGTTTCTCCATAGCTTTAACAATTCAGATTCTCTCAGACACACACAAGCCGCAGGGCCTTCTGCTTTTATACATTACATGTGTAAATAAGATACTGATTGAAATAAATTGTGTGAAAACCGTGTGCAAAATTATTGCATTTAAGTATATATACATATATACATGTAGCTAGGTGCTGATGTTCAATGCAATATGTGTAAATCAAAATGAATGCTTCATGTAATTGCTGTCATTGTTTAAAGAAAATTGTCAAACGATTGTTTGTCCTCTTCATGAATATGATCGTCTGCATATTGTATTGTTTTGTGTTCTGTTTTACTTTATATTTTTATTATTTATACTTTCATTTTGTATTTGAGTTCCTCCACTAAAACAATGTAGAAATGTGATTAGTCGTCCTGAAAAAATATTTTATTACTTGTAGTAGTAAACACTTCAACTGATATTTTCCTTTCTTTTATTTTTATGACTATGGATATTTTAAATCGTTTTAATAAAGAAGAAACGATATGATTCAATATCATTTCATTTCGTTAATGACCGCGGTTTACATTTTGCTGTGAACTCTTATAATTTCATCACGTGATATGTGATATAATTTGTTTGAAGATATTCTAGACCATGATAGTTGTTGTAATTTCTGCTTTTTGCTATGTTTTTGTATAGTTATAAGCAAATATATACGACGGAAACTCTTTAAATTGACTAACTACAGTGTTGTCTGTCTTTCATCAGGCCTATGTTCTCCACGGTAATATTGGTAGCGTAAATGAATAATTCGTAGTAAAATAATATATTTATTACGGCACAACGCAACAATGTACAGACTAAACTATCGTAATATATTTAACATGTAATTTCCAACATATTCTCAAGATACTTGTCTATAAATAATTTGTCATGTAAATTTGCATAAATAGGCGGAGCTGATCTCAATAATAATATTTCGCATGTGTTTTTGGAACTAGGATAAGGAATTGCCAAACGATATGTGTATAGTAAATAATTTAGACCATGCGAGGCATACAGCTATCTGCGCTGCTTCTTACCTCTAAAGGAACCACCCGGGATCTTTGCATTTGCCAAAATGTAAACAGCAAAGACTGACGAACGTGACGTTGCACTGGTACTTATTTAAAATTGCCGGAAGTAAATATTCTAAGCAGGAAGAAAAACATAACGTCAAACGCTGACATAAAATATACAAGTCCTCGACTCAAAATGCTTATAATAATACACTTTTGTTACTAAAACAATCAAGACATATTATTTCTTCCAGTTGAGAGCTCACAAATGAACACTTTTGGGTTCACGATTACAATATTAACCCAACGGTAACGTTCTGAATAATACATGACAAATTTGCGCCATATATGACGTAATCGATACATCTAATAACATAAAGTAAAACGTACGTTAATTACTCATTCAATTTACTAGAAATACTAGAAATAACTTCTGACAACTCATATAAATTCTCTTAATACAATAATAACAATATTTCTTTACTTGGAAATAACCAATACACACATTTACAACACTGCCCCTTTCCCAGAATACATTTCGTCCTCGAAATATGGTCTTGTCAATTCTGACAATACATTTCAAAAATTCTTTTCACAATATTGTTATGTACGTAATACTCTATTATACAAATAAAAAATCTCTAATTTGCCAAAAAAAGGAAATATTACAGCTATCTTAAAACTTAAACTTAACCATACATCAACAAACTACTGCGCCTGTTTATGTCATAAAAACTAATGTCTGTGTTAACAAACTAATGCGCCTGTTAATACTTAAAAGGCAAAATATACATTTTTCTTCATTGTGTCATTATCGAAAATATAAAATAAAAGTCTATTTTTGCATCCAGTTACAGCACTAATACCGTATACTCCATTTAAAGTTCAATCCAAGATTCTCCATTCTATCAGACGCTGGAATTATAAACATCATGAAGCTCAACTTCTTCTATACACCAGGCTAACCATAAGCCAACAAATGTCCTATCAAGTTCTATACCACAAGGGTACCCCGCGTATAAATTTATACACAATCTTCGATACTGATGTACCATACAAACATAAGTATAAAAATAGGTACAAAAGTACAACTAATAAAAAATAGTCATCAGTATTCCCCGAGAAATATCTAAAATGGTGTAGACTATAGCTCAGCATACCCATGGTGTAACCAAAATGTATATTGCAATCTAGACTAATCATTAGCATTAACTTAATCTCCGCCAAAACAAAAATGGCTCCTTATAAGTATCCTAACTGCCAATATTAGCCTTAACTTAATCTCCGCCAAAACAAAAATGGCTCCTTATAAGTATCCCAACTGCCAATATACACCCACCGAAAGCAGCTTCCCACCAAAATAGTATTAAACAATTTTTACTGCATTAAGGACAACAACGCCAATAGGACCATCAAATTCTAGATTCTGATAAAAAAGTCACCTGTTTTCTAAAATCTTAAAAACAATTTCAATACCACAATATATTTCTTAAAGTGCAAAAATCTATACATATTTGTGCTTAGTGTACTGTATACTCAGTGGATAAACAAATATTACAAGTCTTCTCAATAAACCATTAAATCACTTTTTTACATTTTATCAATAACAAAATAAAATGCTCCGCAGGGCGCAGCTTGATACGACCGCAGAGGTCGAACCCTGAACAGTTGGGGGAAGTATGGACACAACATTCAAGCTTGATACAGCTTTGGATTTGGATTGTGATTAAATATTTGAAACAGCATAGGTTTCTAACACAGATTGAATGTGGTCCAAGAACTTAAAAATTTTAAATTGGACATTCACCTATTATGGTCCAATATCCAAAATCTAAATACACGGTTAGATTCAGCATATCAAAGAACCCCAAGAATTCAATTTTTGATGAAATCAAACAAAGTTTAATTTTGGACCCTTTTGACCTCAATGTGGACAAAGTTGATAACGGGGCCCAAAAATCAAAAATCTAAATACATGGTTAGATTCAGCATATCAAAGAACTCCATATATTCAATTTTTGTTGAAATCAAACAAAGTTTAATTTTGGACCCCGATTTGGACCAACTTGAAAACTGGGCCCATAATCAAAAATCTAAATACATGTTTAGATTCAGCATATCAAAGAACCCTAAGAATTCAATTTTTGTTAAAATCAAACTAAGTTTAATTTTGGACCCTTTGGACCTTAATGTAGACCAATTTGAAAACGGAACCAAAATTTAAGAATCTAAATACACAGTTAAAAAATCGGCATATCAAAGAACCCCAATAATTCAATTTTTGATGAAATCAAACAAAGTTTAATTTTGGACCCGTTGGACCTCAATGTGGACCAATTTAAAAACGGGGCCCAAAATCCAAAATCTAAATACACGGTTAGATTCAGCATATTAAAGAACCCCATGAAATCAAGAATAAAACCCCATTGAAATTGGTCAAGAAATAATCAATTTATAGGAAGTATCTTCTTTTGCACAATCCTGTGTTATTAAATATTTCTTGCTATTGTGCAATACTGTACAATTGACAATTTCTTGCTATTGCGCAATATTGTGCTATTGGATATTTCTTGCTATTGCGCAATACTGTGCAATTGAAGATTTCTTGCTATTGCGCAATACTGTGCAATTGAAGATTTCTTGCTATTGTGCAATACTGTGCAATTGAAAATTTCTTGCTATTGCACAATACTTATTATATAATAATTTACACATCCTGTTTGGTGTGTATCTCCTACCATATCATTATTATTTGATTTTAAATATAAATCAGAAATAACCAACTTAAAATGGAAAATTTTAAAAGAAACAAAAAAGGAAAAAAAGAAAAAAAAGGAAAAAAAAATAAATCCCCCCCAAAATTTTTTGAACCCCCATTATGATTCATCACCCCCAAACTCAATCCCAGCCTTCCCTTTGTGGTATGGTACCTTGCAGTACAATTTCAGAGAGATCCATACACTTGAACACAAGTTATTGTCTAGAAACTAGAAAAAAATGTGTTTTTTGGCCCCTTTTTGGCCCCAAATTCCTAAACGTTTAGGACAATTACCCCCAAACTCAAACCCAGCTTTCCCTTTGTGATATGGAACCTTGTAGTACAATTTCAGAAAGATCCATACACTTACACACAAGTTATTGTCATGAAACTAGAAAAATGCTTGTTTTTTGCCCCTTTTTTGGCCCCTAATTCCTAAAATTTGGAGGCAATTACCCCCAAAATCAATCCCAGCATTTCTTAGTGATATGGAACCTTGTGGTACAATGTCAGAGAGATCCATACACTAACACACAAGTTATGTCTGGAAGTTACAAAAATGCTTATTTTTGGCCCCTTTTTGGCCCCTAATTCCTTTACTGTTATTACCATAACCCCCAAAATCAATCCCAACCTTCCTTTTGTGGTATTGAACCTTGTGGTAAAATTTCATAAAGATCCATTCACTTAAACTAAAGTTAGAGTGCGAAAACCAATGTGTCTTCGGACGACGCCGGACGACGACGACGCCGGACGACGACGACGACGACGCCAACATCATACCAATATACGACCACAAAAATTTTTTTGCGGTCGTATAAAAAATCACACAAGTTTCATATCTACATTATAAAAAATCCGAATCTACACAAAAATATTCTGATATTTGGCCAGTATATAGGCCCAACTATTTCTGATAATCCTGACTTGTAAATCCAAACTGCGGGTTCCCTTCGAAAGTATTCATATTTTCTGGTTTCCCTCTTTTTCCTCTTGAGAAAGGACAATCTCTGCTGTAATGTCCCTCTTGGTGGCATGAGTAACATGTACTTTACTCAATCGTCCTAGTATTCTGCACAGGCGAGTTTATAGGACTTACTGTGGGGCTGGAGGTAGATAAATTAACACCATCTTCTATATCCAAATCTATTAAATTACAGAGCTCAACAGTTCCGCTCTGTGAAATAATCATATTCTTCATACTTTCCCCCCTTCCAAAATTTGGAGCTGGGATTTTTCTATTTCTAATATCCATTTTTAATAACAAACAATAATATGCCAATAGAAGCTAACTACGCCTCTATTTCTCTAATAAATAATTATTTGGAAGCTAAATGCACCTCCTTTATATTTTTTTTTCTTGCTAGGAAGCTAAAATGCACCTCCTTTATAATTTTTTTTTCTTTCTAGGAAGCTAAATGCACCTCCATTACAAATATTCTTTTCTTTCTAGGAAGCTAAATGCACCTCCTTTTATAAATAATTTTTTTTTCTCTAGGAAGCTAAATGCACCTCCTTTATAAATAAATATTTTCTTTTTTTTTTTTTTTTCTAGGAAGCTAAATGCACCTCCTTTATAAATAAATATTTTCTTTTTTCTTTCTAGGAAGCTAAATGCACCTCCTTTATAAATACATATTTTCTTTTTTCTTTCTAGGAAGC